ACTCCAGCTCCGCCCTTGACGCTTCTTGCCTGATTCCATTATCTACTTGGTCCTCTCGGAAACAGGTGTGAACTCAACCTTGAACGACAGAGGTCGGGGTGCTGGGCTATTATTGCAGGCGAAGATGTCTGATCTTTTGTCGTTTCACTGCATGAATCATAACCGTCAGACGCAAATTCTTGTTCAAACGGGAGAAGAATCGTAGCGACAACCTATGGCGGGGAAAAGCTACCTAATCTGTTACGTAACTGCTCGTCAAAGGATCGCATCCAGAACGACCAAAGCAGCTCCGCCATAGTGAACCATACGCCTTTCTCAGCAAGCGGTTGTCCACTACACACGCGCCTCCCCCCAGCCAGCCGTGCTACAAGAACGTATTGAGGCTACCAAAGATGCCGCATTCGCTTAAAAGGCCGCGGCCGTGTGCTTCATGGTCTACTGGGCGGCCTTTTCATCGCCGAAGGCAGCGGGGGGAACAGCTGCGGTTATAAGGAACATGCGCGACATCACAGCTAGCAGTAGAGGTCAAGATCTTTTATACGATCTTTGGCGAGGTGGATGTGATCGCGGCATCGTCTCTGCCATAATAGAGAAGCACTCTGATTTGGCAAGCAATCTGTACCTTCAATTAAGCATAACATCAAGTTTCACTTGGAATGGGCGACGATCACTGCCTCTAAAGTTTTAGTTAAATCTACCCCGCCATTTCCAGCATTGCCGGAGGAGTTCGTCCTTCGCCACCAATTACCAATCGCTATATTGCTAGGGTCGGGCAGAATCCGAGAGCTATCTGCCGCTTACATGGTCTAAATGCCGTCAAATCCGACCAACCGCTGAACCTCGCATTACCCCCGCTACCACTCGGCGCCGACGTCGGTTAAACGTCAGTGAAGATGGAAGGATCAAGTGATGATAAAAACAAGCGCTCTCACGTCAAGGACAAAGATGGCGCATCGTCTCAAGAGCATCCCAAAATGCCCACTCTCCAGCTCGCAACGTGGGCGACGAACCTGACCTACGCCAACCTCACAACCGGCGTGGTTGATGCCGCTGTTAAGAGTCTTTACAACTGGGCCGGATGCGCAATCGGGGGTTACATCCAAAATGCACCCCAGATTGCGCAGAACACCACCCTCGCTGCCTTCAGCGGCCCTCCGACATCGAGTATCCTTGGTGCCAATGACTCCATCAGCGCAGGGTACGCGGATGCGCAAACAGCAGCCTTGATCAACGGCATCGCTTCACACGTCGACGACTATGACGATACTCATCTTGAGACAATCATCCATCCCGCTGGACCTGTCGCCAGTGCGCTCTTTGCTGTTGCTGAATGGAAAGCTCCAGTCTCCGGCCAGGACTTCATCACTGCATTCGTAGCCGGCGTTGAAGCGGAGTGCAAGCTGGGTCTGTCGGTCTACCCTGAGCACTACAACGTGGGATGGCATATCACGAGTACAACTGGCTCCATAGGTGCCGCAGTGGCAGTCAGCAGACTTCTTGGATCTGACACCACTACTATGCAAAACGCCATTGGAATAGCAGCAACCCAAGTTGTTGGCATGCAAGAGTACTTTGGCTCAGACACGAAGTCATTCCATGTCGGCCGGGCCGCGCAAAGCGGTATGCTTGCTGCCCTACTTGCCAAAAACAACTACACAAGTTCATTGCAAGGCCTCGAAGCCAAGTTTGGCTGGCTTCACGTCGTCAGCACGCGTGAGAACGCAACGGCCTACTTCGATCAACTTGGCAAGATATGGGAGGTTGAAAAGAACACATTCAAGCCTTTCCCTTGTGGCATCGTCATGCACCCATCCATCGACGGCGCAATCCAGCTTCACAACCAGACCTTGCAAGAAGGCAAAGCTATTGCAGACATTGGATCTGTCCAGCTCCGCGTCAACCCGCAAGTTTTGATCCTCACAGGCAAGACGAATCCGCAAACCGGCCTAGAGGGAAAGTTCAGCATCTACCACGCCACAGCTGTGGGTTTGCTCTATGGAGAGGCCACACCTAAGGAATTCATCGATGCAGTGGTCAAGAATCAGACGGTGGCCGATCTGCGGAAGAAGGTCAACGTGACGACGGATTCAAGCGTGGATAACGCGCAAGGATACATCACAGTGAACTTCAACGATGGAACCAAGTTGGACAAGCACATTGTTAACGCGGTTGGTAGCCAGGAGAACCCACTCACAGTTGAGGACTTGAAGAAGAAGTTCATGGACCAAGTCACTATCGCTATTGGCGGGGACAGGGCGGTTAGGGCCTATGAAGCATTCACTAACATCGGGAACTTGACTGATGTCGGCAAGCTGAGGGGAATGTTTTGATTTTTTAATTTTATTCTATTTCATGTCTGACTTATTCACCTAAGGTATTCTTGTATGATCATGAGTGAACGCGAACCGGGAGTTGTGAGCGGGCAAACGCACATACTAACTCGAAAGCCAACTTTCGATGGAAAAACGCATCTACCGGTCTGCAAGTCTTCTCGCTTCCGGTCGATGCATAGTTGTTGGATCTAGTGATCTTCTCGGTCATCTCCCTAAGTTGCCGACATTGAATCGGGAAAATGCCTTGTGTCGCCGAAAGTGACTAGGTGGGGCTTCGGGGGTAAATGGCGGAGACGGACAATTCCCGCTGACGATGCGGATCGTGTCAGTTGGCCGCGGGGTTTGTCCGTCCTCCTTGAGGCTAGGGTGCAATTTTGATCAACGAGAGCTGCTGAAGGCGGCTTTTCTGAAATTTCAATTGTCTTCCATAGAAGTCAATTCGCTCAATCCCTCTGCAGTCGCTTTTCATCCGGAGGACCAAGATTGCTGTTTCCGCACTCAGACCTTTCAACATGACTGTCGTTCATATTGGTGAGGCTTTGATTCAAAGGTACCCTATAGCTGTAATGCTTATCTTCATCAGTTTTATTCAAGTTTCGTCCCGATGTGACAGACGAACACAAAACAACGTTTTCGAAAGAGCTCAAGACTCTCAAGACACTTCCCTGTGTGAAAGCACAACGTCTTGTTGTCGGTGGTCCCTCCATTACGGACCCGATAGAGCGAAGCAAGGGCTACCATTTCGCCCTTCTGAGCTTTCACGAGGACCGCAAGGCACTTGAAGAGTACCAGGCTAGTGCTGAACATCATAGGTAATTGTCCACAGCTGTTCCCCGAATAATTGCTGACCAGCTCCGCAGAGTGACCAGTACCTACCTTTGGCCCTTCAAAGAGGATGTCACAAGATTTGACTTCGAAGTTGAGGAGGAAGATGAACATATGTGGGACTTTGTGGCGAAGGGAATCGTGAATGGCGCTGTGTAGTATCAAAACTAAGATACCCGGACTTGACACTGGCGAATTGCGCTTTGTCAGGTGATGCGAAGAATACAGGGATGCTCGAATTGAAGAATGGCGAGTTCTAGAGAATAAAAAGTGTTGATTGGCTGATCTTCTCGAAGTCGCTTGTGCCACATACATGCAGGATCGATTGATAAGAGCTGTGCGATGGCGGATCAGGCGAGAGCGGGGTCAAGAACTCAAGATCCGAGCCTCTCCCCACGATCATAATTGTCGCCTTGCTCTTTAACTACCTCGGTGCTTAAGTATCCCGACAAATCTACTAAGCTAGACGACGTCGCACCAAGAAAGCTTTGAGATCGATATCGCGATGTCTCGGCCAGATAGTTGGCTATGTTCCATCTGCATGCAGGTCATTCAGACCAGCAGTGGTCGGACCGGTCGTGACGCCACAGGCATGCCGCCAGGCCAGAGTTTGGAACGTTTTCGAAAGGCTGCCGCTGATGATTGCTTTATATGTTCTAAAGTATGGAATCTTTCCGAGCAGCATCGGCGAGCGTGGGATTGTCTGCCCCCGGAAAGTTGGAGTCCATTCTACTATATCATCGATAAAGAAGAGTATCCTAAGAATATGCTGCATCAAATCAGAGTCTGGATCCTCTACAATGACCCGACGCGAGAACAAATAGAGCAGGCCACCGACGTTCGTTTCAGGTTGATACCGTCAATAGGTACGCAAATTACGACTGCGTGCCCACACAGCTCGCTTTCAACGAGCTCATGATTATGCGGTTACTGACAATAACCATAGGAAGTGAATACGAGAACCTATTTGCGTTCTCGGACATCGAAGAAAGCACCGGATCTTCACAAACCCTTGACCTGGCTTATTCCTGGTTTCGCGAGTGCACATCTTGCCATACAAGGAAGTGCAAGGCTCATCCTGGACAGACAGAGGGCTGGCTTCCGTCACGTCTTATAGACATTGGATCTCATGGAGATACGCAATGGAAGCTTTTGATCACAAGCACAGATGCGATATTGTCTGAATCTCTTCTGTATCTGACTCTCAGCTACCACTGGGGGGACGATGTCCAGCACGAGCTCTTGACATCGTCCACAATGAGCCAATTTCGACAAGGAGTAGAGATCTCTAGTCTGCCTAAAACATTCCAAGATACAGTGATTGTAGCACGGCGATTGGGAATTCGATACATATGGATTGACTGCCTATGCATCATTCAAGACTCCCGAGACGATTGGGAGGCGGAAGCTCCTGAGATGCGGCATGTATACGCAAACGCGGCTTGTAATATCGCCGCTTCTGCGTCAGATGACGCCGATGGAGGACTTTTCCGGTCTCGAGATGGGCGAGACATTCGGCCTGGTTTGGTCACCTCGACTCTGGCGTCAGGTCACCCTGAAACATTCTATATCTTTGATAAAAGCTATTGGGATCGCCACCTTCTCGGGGGTTCACTTCATCGCAGGGGATGGGTCTTCCAGGAACGTTTTCTGGGGCCGCGCCAGCTCTACTTTACACAACATCAGGTTCTGTGGGAGTGTCTTGAGGAACATAAGTGTGAGGGCTTTCCTCGAGGGATTCCCCTCCATACATCTTTCAAGGATACCGAACGACTACTTAAGCCATTTGAGGAGAGGAAACAACTGGATAAAACACAGAAACAAGGGGTTGACGACCACGTCATGGCTTTCGACGCGCTGGAACTATGGCGCGATCTTGTAACGGCCTATTCTCAATGCCGCTTCACGAGGCCAGAGGACAAGCTCTACGCCTTTTCGGGCATCGCCAAGCTCTTCCAGGAGGTGACCGGTGACAGATATCTCGCGGGTCTATGGCGGTCACGAGTCTTACATTTGCTGAATTGGACCGTCTTCACTCCAAGGCCAAGGCTGCCATCCCAATATCGGGCGCCTTCCTGGTCTTGGGCATCGGTAGATGGGCCTTTTAAGATGCATATGACCGCGGCTGATTACCACTTTCAGGTTTCAGTCCTAGATGTGGATGTTACAAGAAGCGGGAAACAAGATGTTGTCGACGTTACCGGAGGGTACATTAAGTTGAGGGGTCCCTTGATTGCTGGAATCTATAGCCAAGAGTCGATTGACGGACAGATATTGATTCAGTTGGAAGACAAAAACGCCCATCTGATCTCTGTGTTGCCCTTTCCAGACACTGCAGAAATCCAATTTAAGGGGCGTGGTACAATCAATTTCCTAGTTCTCAACGCCCATGAGCAAAAGTGCTCGAGGAGTGGGGATTCAACGTATACCGAGGAAACCGACCTCATTTGCATTATCTTAGCTCCTGTAAGTGAGTTGGACCGCATTTACAAGAGAATAGGATGGTTTTCGGACAGACATCGCAAAAGGTTCTCTGAAATAGAACTCCTTGCAGCCTACCAGCAACACGTGGAGGACATAATTATTATTTAGGCACGTAGAGAAACTGCAGTGAAGACATGAGTGGCAAGGCTTTTATCAGAGGTGTATAAAATTCGCGCCGACACCCTTACTGTCCCTTTCAGCTACATATACATCACGTTTTGCACCAGGGCTTATACGATACGGTTAGCGACAGAAACATTCCCCGGTGCGCTAAGCATAATGTTTGTAGTCCCACTCGTCTCTTATGAAATACGCATCTGAAATCTGGCAAAAGGTGACATGTGCAGGGTTCGAGCAGGACAAAAAGCACCGCCACCTGGTAACAATCTTCAATTCATGCCCGTCCTGTAGAAGAAGTAATCCCTCCATCAACCACAATCTTCTGCCCTGTGATATACCTCGCCTCATCAGAGACCAAGAACGCCGCCGCATTCGCAACATCCCACGCATCCCCCATCCGCCCCATCGGCACCTGCTCATCCCTCATCTTCTTGAACGCCTCATACCCGCCCTCCATCGGAAACCTCGATGCCAAACTCTTAGTATACGGCGTCTCCATCAACCCCGGAACAACGGTATTCAGCCGCACCTTTTTGGGGGCATAGATGACGGCTGTCGCCTTGACGAACTGCATGATCGCCGCCTTGGTCGTGTTGTAGGCGACCTGCGGCTTCCCGATGTATCTCAACCCCGCAATACTCGATATGCACACAACGCTCCCGCCCGTCTCCTGCTTCTCCATCACAGGCAAGACGTGGTGACATGCGAGGTAGACGGTCTTGAGATTGATCTCGATCTGAGAGTCCCACGTCTCCTCGGACATGGTTGCAGGACATCCGGGCTGGGATTGCCCGACGTTTGCCAGGAGGATATCGATGCGGCCATGCTTTGCCAGACACGTGTCCGCGAGCGCTTTTACAGACTCGGAAGAGGTGGCATCGGTAGCGACAACATCGCAGACGCCTCCGATTTCTTCAATGGCCTTCTTTGTCTTGGCTGTTGACTCTATAGTTCGGTTCCCGCCAAAGATCACGGCGCCCTGCTTTGCAAAAGTGACGGCGCAGGCGGCTCCGATTGCCCAGCCCTCTGAGCCGGTTTGGCCAAGGCCGATGACGAGGGCGACTTTTCCTCTGAGGTCGAGCATGGGGGTGGTATAAGTGGTGTCGGAAAAGGGTCGGAAAAGATGGGGCTTCAGCGTTGACAATTGGAATGTTGAAGTTGGGTCAAGACGATCAAAATTGCTTCACTCGATTCAGCAGCTTTACTTATACTCGAAATTAACCACACACAAAATACGCATAGTAATGCTCCCCGAGTGCCACGGCCATCAAGCAAACTTCTAGGTGAGAGTTTGCTGTAAGTCGCATACGAACGGAGAAAGTCCGCCAACCACGGACAAAACTCCGAGTCCCTCGGCCGTCCTATTACCGTTGGGATCACGACATGCGGAGTCCCCGCACCTCAACCGGGCCCGCGGATAAGGTCATCTAGCCAACCATAAAAGCAGGAATACTAATACTCCTCATGACGTGACCGTCCCTTATAATCGGAAGCCAACTAACACCCAAAGCCATCATCAAACCCCAAAGTTGAGAAAAAAAGACAAAAATGGCAGAACAAAAGAAGCCTGTAACAGGCGACTACGACCTCTCAACCCCAATCAACCCCAACTCGACCGGCCTCCGCCAGGGCCTGACCTCCTACGGCGACGCGCACTTCTCCCTTTTCCTGCGCAAGGTCTTCATCAAGGCCCTCGGCTACAGCGAGGATGCGCTCTCGCGCCCCATCATCGGCATCGTCAACACGTACTCGAGCTTCAACCCGTGCCACGCCAATGTGCCGCAGCTGATCGAGGCCGTGAAGCGCGGGGTGCAGCTCAACGGCGGGCTGGCGATCGACTTTCCCACGATCAGCATCGCGGAGAGCTTCGCGTCGCCGACGAGCATGTATCTGAGGAATCTGATGAGTATGGACACCGAGGAGATGATCAAGGCGCAGCCATGTGATGCCGTTGTGTTAATTGGAGGTGAGAATTGTCTCTTGTTTGAACTATGGGCGGATGGTGCTTGTGCTGACGGGTGATAATTAGGATGTGATAAGACGACACCAGCACAGTTAATGGGTGGTATCTCTGCGAATAAACCCATTTTGCATCTGGTAACAGGGCCAATGATGCCGGGCAGCCACAAGGGTGTAAGAATCGGCGCATGCACGGATTGCCGCAACAACTGGGCAGCATACAGAGCTGGGAAGATTGACATCGAAGATATCTCCGCCATCAATGATGAGCTTGCACCAACGGTGAGGTCAAACCACGCCCCTCAACTCATATCGCTTTACTAACTCAACACAGGGAGGAACATGCGGCGTCATGGGCACCGCCTCAACCATGGCCTGCATCCTCGTCGGCCTCGGCATGATGCCCTTCGCCGGCGCCACCGCGCCCGCCGTCTCCTCCGCCCGCCTCCGCATCGCCGAGCAAACAGGCGGCCTCGCCGTCGCCCTGCACACCAAGCGCCTCAAACCCCAGGACCTCCTCACGCGCGAGTCCTTCCTCAACGCCATCACCGTCCTCCAGGCCATCGGCGGCTCCACCAACGCCGTCGTCCACCTCATGGCCATCATCGGCCGCCACCCGACCGTCGCCGGCACCATCACCCTCGACACCTTCGACGAGATCGGCCGCAAGACGCCCCTGATCGTCGACCTCAAGCCCAGCGGCGACAACTACATGACCGACTTCCACAACAGCGGCGGCATGCTCGCGCTGCTGCACGAGATCAAGGACCTGCTGTATCTGGACGCGATGACGGTCACGGGCAGGACGCTCGGCGAGGAGCTCGCGAACACGCCATTCATCCCCGTTCCACGGGACAGCTTGGTCAACTGCTTGCAGCCGTTCAACGAGCCGCTGTACCCCGCGTCTGCGCTCGCTGTGCTCCGAGGGAACATCGCGCCAGGCGGCGCGGTGATCAAGCAGAGCGCGTCAAAGTACCGGCATCTGTTGAAGCACTCCGGCCCTGCGGTCGTGTTTGCAGGTTCCGCGGACATGGCGCTTCGGATTGACGATCCAGACTTGGACGTCACGTCGGATAGTGTGCTTGTGTTGCAGAATATCGGTCCGGTTGGAAACCCGGGCATGCCGGAAGCAGGCCTGATACCGATTCCTAGGAAACTCGCCGCGCAGGGCGTGCAGGATATGTTGCGTTTGTCGGACGGAAGGATGAGCGGTACCGCTGGCGGGACCATCGTACTGCACATCTCTCCGGAGGCAGCTGATCCCGAGTCGGTGTTGGGGATTGTCAGGGACGGCGACATCATCACTTTTGACGCGGAGCAGCGTGTAATCAGGGTCGAAATCTCAGATGAAGAGATCAAGAAGAGAATAGCCGAGAAACTCCAAGTCCTTGAACAAGAGGAGGCAAATGGTGGGAGTAACGCGCCTTGGATCGCGAAAAAGCGGATCAGGGGTTACCGCGGCTTGTACTTGCGTGAGGTTAATCAGGCTGAGGGCGGCGGAGACTTTGACTTCCTAACGGCTCGCGGTCCATCACGAGGGTTATGACTTGGGAATCATTAGACGTTTATAATGTGCCATATGAAAAACACTATTCTGTACAAGATTATTGTAAATTGCCGCAATCAGCTCAAGAGAAGCTAGGGTATGTCGGTATGAAGTCGTCAAAAAGACCACGCATGATGCTATCCAAGTTCGATCCCTCTCCCATCTGCAGTTGGTCTCCGAAAGCTGTGTTAGACAAGAACGACTCGAACGGGTCTTGGGGCAGAAATGCCTCTGGGCCGTTTGAGGTCATTGATGCCATCGTAATCGGGTGAGACAGGCTCTCAGAGAAGCCGATTCTGCCTGCTGAAGCACCATTGAGATTGGGATCGTACGGGTTGAGCGGTGGTGCCTGTGTAGATTCCAGACGCGAGGACCTGCGATGTTGCGGCACATCCAACGTGGCAGGTTGGCTCAACATGTCCTTGATCCAACGAACAGTGGCGCGAATCATGTCGTCGAGGATGTCACGGCACCGCTTCGCTCCAGACCAATGCTCTCCGGTGGCAGCCAGGACCCCCAGTCCGGCACTGAAGTCGGACATGAGTGAGTCCAACGCTGTTTGACGAGCAATCTCGGGCACCATTTTGATGCAATACAGCATGGTGATGATACTCAAAACGATTGAATGAGGCGTGTTCCAAGCGTGCATCAGCATGTTTTGCTTGTATAGCTGATCCAGGAGACGGACGCCCTGGCACGCGGCGTCGAAGCACTTGCGTAAGGAGTCCGATGAAGGGTTGGGTATCGCAGGACTGGGACGTAGGAGTAGCATCCGGAGCCCGTGGTACCTAATCTGGCAGACAATCTGGACGTACTCCATTCCAGGGTGTTGAGGGATGGTGCTGTGCCATTCATCCAACTGCTGAAGCATGCCATTTTGCCATTCGTTGATGTCGATGACTGCAGGGTAGGCGTATCGAGGGGTATCGCGGACAATGCTATTGGCGACGTATTTGAACTCTGAGTTGAGCTTGGCTAGTCTGAACAGGTGGATGGAGA